CCTCCAGTAAAGCACATTCAGATGAAAATTACTCTGAATTAAAAATCATTTATTGAACAGTATGTAATAATTTCATATTTAAAGTACTTTCAGAAGTTTGAATTCTGAGTATGAGCGGACTTTTCCTTTAACTTCTACAAGAATCCCCAATAAGAGTTCCAACTTTTAACTTACCGTCGGGATTAATTAAACATTGTATTTATTGAATTTTAGTTTTTAAAAACAGTAGCACTGTTCAAAGATTCCAATTGCAATATCTGTAAGTTGGAAAGGAAAACATTTTAGAGAAACAAGTTCTGACTGTTTTTTTATTTTCAATTGGAGGTATTCCAAGTAGAGAAACTGAAAGCTTTCACTCCCATTTCAGTTCGACCAGGAAGAGGAGAGAAATGGAGCGGAAGTGGAGCCATCTCCTCTGCAGAGGGGATGGAAATTAGATTAAGGAGGTTCTCAAGGGGTTCACTTCAAGATAAGTCCTGCTTGAGGCTTATAACAAACATGCCACGGCTGTGCATCCTGAACTCACCACCAAGCTCCATGCAGGACCCAGACACGCTCCCATCATGATAATAAACCAATATAACCCCATTTTCATCTATTACTCACATTTTGGATCTTTATCTAGTATAAAGTCTACCATACATAGCAAAAAAGTTGAAAGTGACATCACCATGCCTACTTCACTTTAATGGATGAGTTTTTTAAGAGCTACAGGATAAGTTATTGTTGTTTTTAACAAGTTCTTCCTTCGTAAATAAGACGTGAGGTTCTCCTGTGATGCAGAGCACTTCTATCAGCTGAGAGATAATCACATTTGCTCAGAGTCATTTTCTCAAGCGCATCACTCATCATGTCAGTGCAGCCTTTGCAGAGCATAAAAGATACGCAGAGATCAGGAGGAAGAAAGTGTTTAGTATCAGGTTTCATTTAAAGTCCGCAGCAGCTAACTGTATGAAGGGGGTTTGAGTAGTTGTTGATTTTCAGCTGATCTCGGCTGCAGAAAGAAGCAAAGCCATGGCCATACCTGGTCCCCTTAGGACGCCAGCTCCTCCCACCAGCACCAAATCAAGGCCACTATTACAATCAATCCTATGAAGGGGATGGAGAAAACTGGGGGCTCGGAGGTACGGGTGCAGTTCTGAGGAGAAGACAGGGGCGGGAGTGAAAAGGGAGAGGAGAAAATAAAAGTAGAAAAAAATCTGAGTACTAAAGTGAGGAGTGACAGGAAGAACATATAGGGAGCAAATAAAATGTGGTTTGATGAACAAAGATTTACAGGCAGGCATGTAGAGCATCAACACAGCTTCTATTTACAAAGAATTTTATTGTTATAAAATAGTAGAGTTATA